CGCCCGACTTCGCGCCCGCCGCGTCACCCGCCTCCCCGCGGCTCCGGGGCCACAGTCTCTTCAGAGCGGCCGTCGCCATTCTCTTCCGGCTCGGCGTCCGTACTCCGGAGAGAAACGCCAGGGAGGCGAAGTAAAAGGCCCGGGGAGTCTCTCCTGCGCAAGCGCCAACAGCGCCGGACGTGCTTTCCCGTCGGAAGAGGATAGGAAACGGACCGGCGCCGGATGTTGCTGTCCGGACCTAGCGCTGTCGACTGTGGCGGGTAGGCGGGCCGCGCAGGCGCAGAGAGCGCGGGCCACGCCGGCCGAAGCAGCCTCAGGTGAGGGGGGCGGGGTGCACCTGCGGGGCTGGGGGCGGCGAGTTCGCGCCCCGTGGTGCCGTTAGCCTGCAGGCCGGCCGGGGGCCTAGGGACGGACTCCGGGAGGGGCGCCGGGCGGGGTTGGGGGCGGACCTGATTGGCTTCTGTCCTCAGAGCGGGATGCGGTGACGCCCCTGGGCGACCATGGCAGCTGCCGATGAGCTGGCCTTTCACGGTGAGTGCGCCGCCCCGCGACCTGGCCCGAGCCCTGACCCCAGCCGCTGGCCGGAGCCTCCCATCCGGGGTCCAACTCGTATCTAACCCGAACCCCAGTCCTCTGTGAACCCTGACCCGGGCAAGAAACCCATCCCGAACTGGAACCCCGCTCCAGCCCGGAACTTAGATCTCTACCCGAGCCCAGATCTGACTCCATCCCACAACCAGCCTTAAATAAATTGCTGTTCCCTGTTAGGAGTGAGGGAACACGCCTTCCCACTCCCCAGAATTGAAGAAGCCAAGCCCCCAGAGGAGCAGTGGGCCAGACCAAATTGTCTTGACTCCCAACACAGGGGGTAACGCGTGTGACCCCTTTTTCTTCTCCATAGAGTTCGAGGAAGCCACTAATCTGCTGGCCCAGACCCCAGATGCAGCCACCACTAGCAGAAGTGAGCCACTGACCCTGCAGGGGCACGTGGCTGTGGCCGTGGACTCAGGGGGCAGCTATGGAGCTGAGGACGAGGTGGAGGAGAGTGACAAGACGGCGGTGAGTCCCAGAAGCCCCCATGTCCTGCCTCTGTCCAGGCCCCGCTGCCCCGGGCTGGAGGGGCAGGCCCTGAGCACCTGTGCCGTGCAGCTCCTGCAGGAGGAGAAGCAGCAGCCTGGGTTCTGGACCTTCAGCTACTATCAGAGCTTCTTCGACGTGGACACCTCACAGGTCAGGCCCGGGAGGCTGAGGGGTTGCGGCTCAGAGTGACGCTTGGGCTTCAGCCACTGCTCGTGGAGCACTCCCTGTGCTCCAGGCCCTGGATAGGGAGCTGGTGATACCCACGCGGGAGAACACGGGTTCCCGCCCAGGCTGGTAGACACACTGTGGTGCGCTATAAGGGTTATGGTGTGACTGGGGCTCTTGGGAACACGAGGGACACACGTGTTAGAGAAAGGTTTCCTGGAGGAGGTGAGGAATTTGCTGAGACCTAAAGAAGAAGGAAGACTTAGCCGGGGAGAGTGGAGGGAAGTGTAAGTATGTTCCAGGCACAGGGAACAGCATATGTAGAGGACCAAAGATGAGAGAAGGTGTGAAGTGTCACAGAACCTACCGGTCACTCAGTTTCGGAGAGTGTGAGGTGGGGGACAGGCAGGCAGAAGCCAGATCACAGAGGGCCTCGTGAGCTGTGTTAAGAAGTTTGGGTTTTATCCTGAGGGTGCCGGGGAGTCATGGAAGGGTTTAGAGCAGGAGTGGAACGAGCAGACGTGCATTGTGGAGTTAGGAAGGTGGAGTGGAGGTCCCAGGCCAGGGTGGGAGATGATGATAAACCAGGGCTGCAGAGCAGGGGACATACTGGAGATGTAGGAAGGAGAGGGCCCAGGACTTGTGACTGTCCTGGGGCTGGGAGGGGAGGCAGCAAGGACAGTCCAGGCCACCAAGCCGAGAGGAGGAGGAAGCAAAGAGGAGGATGGCAGGCCCACAAGAGTCCTTCAGAGTGGGGGAACATGGGGGTACTGGGGGCTGGCCGGGGGAAGGGGCTCCAAGCCATGGGGACAGCCCATCAGAAACCCAGAGGCAAGAGCTGAGCCCTCTCAGGCAGAGTGTGGAGACAGGAGGGAGGGCAGCAGGGAAGGAGCCTCTGAGGTCCTCTAAGGGGCAGGGCCCCTCTCCTCTGTGGGCGGTGAGGAGCCCCGGGCAGGCGTCCACCCTGGCCCAGCCTTGCCCCCAGGTCCTGGACCGGATCAGAGGTTCGCTGCTGCCCCGGCCCGGCCACAACTTTGTACGGCACCATCTGCGGAATCGGCCGGATCTGTACGGTGAGTGAGGTTGTGCATTCAGCTCATTCGATGATTCATTCAACAAATGTGGATGGAGTGCTAGCCTTGGTTTCCAGCTGAGAAGAAAGCAGAGGTGCTCACGAGTGTGTGGAACTTACATCGCGTTCAGGGAGACCGAGGCACAGAATGTTGCAGAGGGCAGTGGGGCTGGGAAGAGAAGCAAATGGTTTCGAGGAGGAGAGTTGCTCTTTTGTGTGGGTCGGTCAGGGAAGGCCCTTCTGAGGAGGGTGAGGGAATGAGCCTTGTTAGTGTTAGGGGTGGGGAGGGGGAGACCTAGGGGAAGAACCTTCTAGAAGGGGCCTAAGCCCTGTGGTGGAAACACACCTGAACTGCAGGACAGCATTGGAGCAAAGTGAGCTGCCAGGAGGTAGCAGAGGTGACAGGACGGATGACACAGGCCTCCCACGCCCTGGTGAGAAGGGCTCTTAGTGCTCTTAGATGCCCTTTGGCTACTGTCGGGGGCCAGGAGTGGACGGCGGGGCCTGGCCCGGGGGGAGGCTGTGGATGTAGAGGGGGTGGCTGGGCTCTGGCATACGTCTTAAAGGTGGGACCTTCAAAGATTTGCTGACAGGAGATGTAGGGTGGGAGGAGAGCGGCAAGGATGGTTCCAAGGTTTTCTGCCTGAACTACTGGAAGGAGGGAGCTGCTATTTATCGATGGGAAAAGCCAGGCAGGTGTGAGGGGAAGAGCGCGTGTGTGGCGGGGGGTGCAGTGGGAGACGCCCCCGTGGAAATGCTGAATGTGAGCCCACAGTTCAGGGCAGAGGCCTGGTCCTGAGGTTTGGAGTCCTCGGCACAGAGGTGGCACGAAGCCCTGAGGTTGCACGAGATCACGAATGTGGGGGACACACGCGAGAGGAGGCCTGAGGCCTGGGCCCTGGGCGGCTCCCCATCACGAAAGAGGTCAGGGAGTAGAAGAGGGTGAGGAGTTGCCTGTGAGAGGAGACAGAGGCCAAGAGCGTAGGGTCCTAGAATCCACACGGAGAGATTTCCAGGAGAGGGGATCAGCCACGTCAAAGGCTGTCGGAAGGCCAAGAAAGATGAGGACCACTGAGAGCCAGCACTGTTCAGCCACCTGGCTGTGCCTGGTGACCTGGGCAAGAGTTGGAGTGATGAAACGGTGCGGGGAGGCAGCCTGGAGCTTGGGAGGAGGCTGGGGTGCCAGCGCGGTTGAGACGGGACAAGTCCCCTGTTCCGGGAGCCCTGGGCCTGAGCGCAGCCTGTCCGCAGGCCCCTTCTGGATCTGCGCCACGCTGGCCTTCGTCCTGGCCATCAGCGGCAACCTGACACTGGTGCTGGCCCAGAGGAGGGACCCCTCCATCCACTACAGCCCCCAGTTCCACAAGGGTGAGCGAAGCGGGCCGGGCCGAGCCCCTGGCGGGGTGGGTGCCGCGGGGCCGGGGGTGACGGCCCGCCTCGGCCCCCAGTGACCGTGGCGGGCGTCACCATCTACTGCTACGCCTGGCTGGTGCCGCTGGCGCTCTGGGGCTTCCTGCGGTGGCGCAAGGGCGTCCGCGAGCGCGTGGGGCCGTACACTTTCCTGGAGACCGTGTGCGTCTACGGCTACTCGCTCTTCGTCTTCATCCCCACTGTGGTGAGTGGCGCCCGGGGACGGGCGGGGGAGGTGCCCCGGGGCTGGCCGGGTAGCCAGCTGCCGTGTCGCCTCCAGGTCCTGTGGCTCATCCCCGTCCCGTGGCTGCAGTGGCTCTTTGGGGCGCTGGCCCTGGCCCTGTCAGCGGCCGGCCTGGTGTTCACCCTCTGGCCCGTCGTCCGCGAGGACACCCGGCTGGCGGCCGCCGTGCTGCTGTCTGTCATCGTGCTGCTCCACGCCCTCCTGGCCCTGGGCTGTAAGGTATGGCTCTGCGGGGCCACGGCTGGGCCTCGGGGCTGGGGGGTGGCTTGCCGGCCCCGACACTGACCCGTGGGGTCTCGGTTCAGTTTTACTTCTTCCAGCCGCTGCCTCCGGTGCACGCGGCACCTCCCCCCCAGGCCACGTCTCTGCCCCCAAGCGTACTGCTGCCGTCCACAGCGCCACGGTCCGCGTCAACCTAGGAGGCTGGAGCCTGCAGGTGAGGAGCTGTTCCCAGCTCTGGCTGGGGGCTTCCAGCCTCCCCTTCCCCAAGGTGAGAAGTCACGGGGCCACTCCCAGGAGTCTCTCTCTTCCAGGCCCAGCGTGAGGGAACACCTCTGCCCGCCCCACCCACCCACCCCCAGAGGATGAATGAAGGCTCCCCTGACACCTCGAGATCACTCTGCTACTTTCCAGACTTTTCTTACAAAGCAAACACTTTTATTTTCTATGCAAAGGTGATTCAGAGAATTTATATAAAGGCGGGAGAGGGGCAGCTGAGCAGGGAGCGTCCAGCGCGGCTGTCGCCTTGAGGGCCACCTGCCGCCGTCTGCCTTCCCTGACAGGACGGGCGGAAGGGCAGAGCGGGCTGCTCCAGCCTCGACTGTGCCCGCTCCTCCTGGGGGCCCAGTGACCGGGGCCTGGGGCCTCGCCTGAGCTCCACCACGTTGAGGTTGGGGGTGTCAGAAACGGGGAGCAGGAGTAGAAGAACATGGCCTGTGCTGAAACATACATTTCCTTGTTTATTTTTTTCTTTTTTTTTTTTTTTCTGGAGGGAGCGGTCCCTGCAAGGCCCCTTCCCAGGCTGGGGAGGGACCCAGATGCCATCTTAGTAGTAGGGACTGGAGCGTCTACAAAGACCGAGGGAAATACACAGGCCTGACGTTAGCTACGAGGAAAGAGGACGCCTTCCACGACAGATCCGTGAGGTTTCTGTGTCTGCCCCAGGCAGCCAAGGGACCCCTCCCTCCAGGCCGGCCGCCTGGGCTGGCTCGTGGCGGGCGGGGGCACCTGCGGGGGCCCAGGGACAGGACAGCAGCAAGAGGCAGGGGCCGAGGACGGAGGGCCTTCCCGACGGCGGCATGGGTTGTACATTCAAGTGTGAGGTGAACCCTTTGGTGGGAGGGGGCCCCGGCCCACAGACCCAGCAGGGCCGCCCCTCACCACGGAGCCAAGTCGGGGAGAGGGGCTGCTGGCTCGGCCCGGCCGGCCTGGTTTCTCAGAGGGTCTGTGGATTGACACTGGTTCTTTTCGTAAAAAAATAAAATTAAAAAAAGCAGCATGTCACGCCCATGGTGACCAAGGCCTGGGAGCTGAAGGGGAGGCCTCGCCCAGCCAGGACAGCCTTCCCGCTGGGGACAGGCCAGGCAGGCAGCTGCTCCCCTCCCTCCCCGCCCGCCGGGCCTGCAGCTGTCAGGCCAAGACATGCCTGTGATGGCAGATGTCAACCCCAGGTCAGGGTGGAGAGGGCGGGGTGGGGGGACGAGGGCTCCCACGACATGATCTCATGTAAAACATGGCAGCGACACGCGCTCAGGGCCAGGATGTGGGCGGGCGGTGGGGTGGGGGCGGCGGCGGCAAGACGGTGTAAAAAAGTGTCCACGTTGCCATAACAAAGAGGGCTGTGACCGGGTGTCGGGGCTCCTCGGGCCCCAGGCGGGCCGCCGGGCGAGGGGTGGGCGGGCTGCGTTTGGTTTCCTGGTGCTGGCAGTCCGGTGCACGCGGCGCGGCCTAGCTCCCGTAGTGCATGGTGTTGGTGGGGATGGACAGGGGCGAGGCCATCGAGATGGCGGGGCCGCCCATGGTGAACTGGCTGTTGACCGCGTAGTGGGCGCCAGAGCTGCCGCCGCCGCCACCCTGGGCGCCTGAGGAGCCTGTGGGCGGGCGTGACACTGAGAGCCGGCTCTGCCCGGCCCGCCCGGCCCGCAGCAGAGTCAGAGGAGAGAGAGAGAGAGAGAGAGCAGGCGGAGGGCAGGCGCCCGGCCCCGTTACCTTGGACAATGCCCGTGCTCATTATGGAGCCCATCCGGGAGTGGGTGTGATTGACAATCCCTGTGTTGGCTGCGCAGCGGGAGGAGGAAGGAAGGAAGGGAGACGGCGTCACCGCCCCCGGCCTGCCTCGGCCCCGTTCTGGAGTGACAGCGCTCACCGGCGCTCAGCCGGTGTGGGGAGCGCGGGGCAGCGGCGGCAGAGCGGGCAGAGCAGCCAGGAGCCCCAGGGAGAGGAAGAGCGGAGGGGCGCAGCGGGCCCCGTGCGGGCGGCCCCCAGCCCCGGCCGGGACACTCACCGAGAGGAATCAGGTTGTTGTGGCCCACGCTGGAGCCCCCGGCGATAACACTGCTCAGGTCGTAGGCGGTCGGCATCCCTGTGCCCCGAGAGGGAGAGGTCAGGGCTGGGGACAGCGGCCTGTGCCCGCGCGCCCAGGAAGGCCACGGGTGCGCCCAGGAAGCAGCCCGCCCCCGCCCCCGCTCACCAGCCACGGCCATCCCGCTGCTGAGGTTGTAGGTGCTGCCCGTGTTCCACATGTTCTCCGAGGGTGACGTGTAGTGCGAGCCGGGCGGCGGCGAGGGCGTCGTGCCTGTGTATCTGCGGCAGAGACGGATGTGGGCGGGGCCGCGGGCCTCGGGGCGCCCCCCGCAGGCTGCGGGCCCATCCTACCTGAAGAAGGGGTTCTTCAGATCCAGGAGGTTGCTGGACTTGGAGCCCGTCTGGTCCACCTGGGCCACAATACTGATGTCGTAGCTCTGTCTGCGGAGAGGGCGGGGGTGACCATGCGTCAGCCGGGTGGCTGGGCCCCCACCTCCCCCGGCCCCGGGCGGCAGCACACACCTTTTGTTGGCAATAAGCAGACATGTCCCTGAGAGCGTGTCCCCAGCCTTGGCGAAGAGTGGTGACTGGAACAGGCACCGGACCTGGTACCAGTGGGTCAGGGGCTCCGTCGGGGCCGTGGACAGCCACACGGTCATTCTGCCAAGCAGGGACAGCACGCATTTGACTGGGCGGGAGCCACCACCCCTTGAGCTGTCCCCATCCCCTGCCCCTTCTGGCGGGTCCCCTGGAACCCTGGAGCTGAGGCAGGCTGGCCACCTAGGCAGTCCCAGACACACGCCTACGTGCCCCCCCACAGACACGCCCCCTCCCACAACAGTCTCTTGCTCCAAGGCGAGCTCTGACTGCCTTTTGGAAGGGACAGTGGAACCTGGAGGAGTCCTGTCCCGCCCTCCCCGCCCCCAGCTCCATCAGAGCCAGCCAGGCCCGGGGTGACGACTGCAGGCAAGGCCCTGGGCCCGGGTGGGGGGCAGCATGCTCTGCTCGGCGGCACTCACATGGAGCCGATGAAAGCGACGTCAAACCAGAAAGCCAGACCGTGCACCAGCCCGGAATGCAGCATGTGGAACTTGAATGGGATTTCTATCCTGGAAGCAAAGGGCAGTGTTAGCCGAAAGAGGGCTGGCAGGGGAGAGAAGGGGTGGCTGGGTGTGGGGTCCCAGGGTCCCACCACCTGCCCCAGGGCGGCAGAATGCCTGGGGAGCCAGTGGCGAGCCTGACCTCCGGCACCAGCCAGGCCTGGAGGACGGGGCGAGGGTGCCGGTACCTGTGCAAATCTCCTTCTTTGGCTTCTAAGAAGTTCACCGTGTACTTGACAGACTTGGCCATCAGGATCCGGATGTCAAACGTGTCCTGGGGAGAAACCACAGGGGTGACCTGGCCTCAGGCGCAGGGGCCGGGGAGGAAGGGGAGAGCCCGGCCCCTCTCCCCGAGTCTGGCCGTGGCCTCGAGGCCAGTGGGCTAAAACCAGCTTGCCCTCGTCGGACATGTGGCGGGAGTATGAACTGGCGCAACGCCGTGGAAGGCAATGAGGTGATAGCTCCCACAGTGACAGCTGCTCATATGCACCGACGACTTGGCAGCGCCACTTGTGGGAGTTTAACCCACAAGTAAAGCTGCACGTGTACAAACTTACACGTGTAATGACAGGCTGTCTAAGGAGCCACACACTGGAAACCACCTAATTAAGCCAACCGTGGCCCGTCCGTAACAGACCGTGTGTATGTGCAGAAGAACGAACAGGCTCTTTGTGAACAGATGGGGAAAGATCTCTGAGATAAATCGTTACGCAGATTCACCAAAAAAAAGCAAGTTAGAGAACTGTGTGCTGACGTCCGCCCCCAGCTATGAGGGAGAGTTTATATCAGACCAGCACTCCTGCCGAGAACTACACGAGCTGAATAAAATACAGAGGAGGAAAAACCCCAGTTGTCTGAAAGCATTGGAGAGCAACCACAGCTGCCACGGCTCTGGGGCCAAGATCTGGAGAGAAGGGAGATGCTTTTGGCTTGCGCCTTCCCCCTGGGGCGGGACCTTTCATCTGCCTCCCTGGGTGGGGAAAGCAAAACGGGGCTCAGGGTCCCCCAGGCAGCTAGGACTCAAGGGACCAAGACGCTAAGGAAAAGGGAACTGGAAACACGAGGTGGCTATTCTGCGTGCGATTGCACTTCGCGGCAATTGCCAATCCCTGAGCTGCATGTGGGGTGGGGTTAGAGAAACCAAGCAGAAAGCCACTCTAAGACACTATAAAGCTACGCCTCAGCAGCGTATCGGTGCTGGGAGGCCAGGACGAGGGGTCCGGTGACCCGCTGGGCTCTCTGAGTCCGTGAGCGCTACGCACTAAAGCAGTGGTTCTCAAAGTGTGGTCCCTTCCAGAGCACCCTCAAGGTCAGAACTATTTTCATAATACTAAGATGTTTTCTGCCTTTTTCATTCATTCGGGCAACTGGGACATCACAACAGACTGAATGCAGAAGCAGAATCCAGTTGTCTTTTATTAAGCCAGAGATTAAAGAGATCTGCAAATTAAAAATGCCACTAATCTCAATGAAAAGTTTTGGAAAATAGTTTTTTTTCTTAAAAATGCTATTTATGTTAACATGTAATTTTTTTTTATTTCTAAATGAATTAAAATAATTCAAAGTGAATAAATAAAATAAATGAATAAAAATCTGTACTTTTAAGTTTCCTGGGCTTAGTTTTTAATACCAATAGATACTAATGGTTTGAGAACCACTTCTCTACAGGGAAGCTAGGAAATAGACCAGCGGAGCCGAGTCTGAAAAGCAGCCTCCAGATATCTCAAATGCCTGATAGGACCAAGGGGGTCTGTTCATATGGCTGGCACTGCCTGGAGAAAACCCAGTCCTTAGAAGGAAAGACATCCTCCAGAGCCTCTACAGCTTTTCATTCTGGCATTCAATGACCAGGCATACCAAGAGACAGAACCAAAGGATAAGAACCAGAAACCAAGAGAATAAACACAGGACAGAAATACACTTACCACTAAAACAATCAGAGACTTATAATTACTATGTTCAAGAAAAAAGGTGAAAAAAATTACTATGTTCAAGAAAAGTGAAAAATGGAGAATTTCTAAGAGAACTGAAATAGTAAAAAATAAGCAAAATGAAATTCTAGAACTGAAACTAAGAATTAAAAAATCAGATTAGACATAGCAAAAAGAGAATTGGAGTTGGAAAATGGATCAGCAGAAAATATGAAAATGAAGCAATCAAGAGAACAGAGGATGGAAAATACAGAAAAGAATGTAAGAGCCATCTGAGACTTGGTGAAAAGGTCTACTGTACACATAATCAGTCCCAGAAGGAGAAGAAGAAGGGGGCAGGGGCAGAGTTTAAAGAGATACTGCCCAAGAGCTTCCCCAAACCAGGGGCAAAACAATAATATATGCCTTATTAAAACAAAAGAAGGGAAGAAAAGAGTTAAAAAGAAACAACAGTCAGGATAAATAGAAAAATAGTAAGATGATAAGATTTATACCAACATAAAGACCAGTAATTACATTAAATGGAAATGGTCTAAATATTCTCATTAAAAGACAAAAAAAAAAAAAATCAATCTGGTTAAAAAACAAAACCCAAATATATGCTGCTTATATGAGAGAAACCTTACATAATAAAGACACAAAAAGGGTAAAAGTAGAAGGATGGAAAAACATTGCACAAATGTTGACCAAGAGAAAGCCAGAGTAGCTGAACTACTATCAGAAAAAAATAGACTTTGAGGCAAGAAGTATTACTGGAAATAAAAAAAAAACGTTTTTTATAATGACAAAAGGATCAATCAACAGGAAGATATAATAATCCTAAACCTGTATGCACCTAATAACATAGTGTCAAAAAATATAAAGCAAAAACTATCAGAACCAAACGGAAAAATAAATCAGTAATAGATACGAAAAGCAGATCAAAAACTCAGTAGAGAGATCTGACCAACATGATTAACAATAATGTGACCTAATGGGCGTTAATACAACACTGTACTCAACAAGTGATTAATATTCATTGTTCTCAAGTATACACAGAACATAAACCAAAACAGACCACATACTGGGCGTAAAGCAACTCGCAACAAATTTCAAAAGACTAAAATCATACATTGCACCTTCTCTGACCACAGAGAAAGTAAGAACAGTATGTTGATTATGCTATATTTTGAGAGGAAAAAAGGCTAAAATATATATATATATTTGTATATGCACATTTAGGTATAAAACTTCTGGAACGATATACCAGAAATACTGTTTGCCTACAGGAAGAAGAACTGTGTGGCTGGGGACACAAGTGGGGAGGCTTTTCACTTTTAAATATTTTGGTTTTTGAACCACGGGTCTATATATCACTTTGAAAATCTCAATAATTAAAAATCAATCAAAATCAGTTCACCAAGGATCAATTCACTTAATAACAGTGCGCATGTATTGCACGCTTACTGTGTGCCTAGCACTCTACATGCATTGCCACTTTACCAACATCCTCTGTGCAGGGGCAGAAGCGAGAGCTCAGAGAGGGGCAGTGGTTTCCCTAGGGCTGCACAGCCTGCACAAGGTCTGAGAGGAAAGCCCATGCTCCCCTCTCGTCACCCCAGAGGAGGGACACGCCCAGTGCTAAGTGCGATAGTGCCCCGGCTGCCCCACTCACCACCACAGGCTGCCGGAAATACTCATCCACCGCGGCGCCTCGGAGGGCCGACAGGTCCACTCCGTGGAAGGATGGCTGGTACCTGCAGAAAGCCCCGCCCCCCCCCATGGCAAGGTCACCAGCAGCGGGAGAGGCAGACGGGGCAGCCTGGCCACTCTCCCAGCCGGCCCTCGGCCCTCGTCCAGCCCAAGTCCCGCAGGCCCTCCTGAGGATGAGGGGGAGAGGCGGGGCTGTCACCGAGAAGGGGGGACGCCAGGGCACACTCACCAGAAGTTGGCCTTGGTGAACTGCTCCATGTAGAGCTGTTCGTCCGTGAAGGGCGCGAGGTGGACGTCACCAATGGTGGGGAACATGTTTCCTGGGAGTGGGGGGCAGGGAAGGGTGCCGGCGTCAGGGTGGGACATCCTGCGGGGCCTAGCAGGGCCTCCAGAGGGCCCCAGGACCTTCTCAGCTGCTCATTCATTCATTCACGCATTCGTGCGACGCAGAGGTACTGAGCACCTACTCTGCCCGTGGCCACAGCAAGCGCCTGACACGCACCATCTCCCTAAACCTGGACAGCCAGCCGGGGAGGCGAAGGGCCTGTCCTTCTGTTCCATTACTGGGCGGGAGGCGGGAGGGCGGCTCCCAGAGCCCTGGGGGGTAAACAAGTGGCGCCCGGGGTGTGGCCAGGCCTCCAGGCCCTGCTGTCAGCCAGGCAGTGCATCTCAGGCCCTGTTTTCCTTAGACAGATGGGCAGCCGGGAAAGTGAAGCAAAGTGCTCTGGACAGAGCGAGGGTGAGCCCCAGGCCCTGCTGTCCGTGACCTCAGCTGGGGCCAGGGCTGGGTGGGGACCTGGCTGAATCCCCCCCGCAGGGACTGCCCAGGCTCTGGCAGGCAGGCGGCCAGGGGTGGGCCACTTGGGTCCTCTATCACTATGACTCAACCAACAGACAGATGCGTCACGGCCAGTGGCCGGGAGAGCCAGGGCTGGGGAGGCCCCGCCTCCCTCGGGGAGTCCAGGCCGCTGTCACCTGGCCTCCAGATGTGGGCCTCCCTCGCTCCCTCCCTCCTGTCTGCGGCGGAGGGCCCCGAGGCGCTAGCGGGAATCCGCCTGCTCCCCGAGCCAGGAGGCTGGGCGGCAGCCCCGGCGGGGGTGGGGAGAGGCTCGCTCTGCCTGGAGGCCACCTGCCCGGAGGGAGCTTGCCAGCCCCCTGGGGCATCATAGGAAAGTACCCGGCCCTGCAGGCACCTAAAGGTGTGCGGCTGGGGGAGGGCTCCCTTTCGTCCCCCCAAAGAGCTTCCTGAGATGGCATGCAGCCATGCCCCGCAGGCTGGGGCAGGGGCGGCGCTGGCCCCCGCCTCATCTGGGGCAGCCTGCTTGACCAGCCGAGTGAGCGTGCAGCTGCCCAGCAGAGCCTGATGCCCGTCTGTCCTCACGTCCCATAAGGAGGAGCCCGCTCTGCTGGGGCCGCCACCCCCAGCCCAGCTTGGCGTACCTGCAGGGCAGAACGGGAGGAGAGGCTCCAGGACAACCCCCGGGGCAGCCTCGCTTGCCACACTCACCCCCGGGACTCAGGACCCAGCTGTGGGACGTGGCAGCCACCCCCCCTCCAGGAGCAGAGCCTAGATCCAGGAAGGCTGGAGGACCGAAGTGGGTACACCCCACAGACCCACACACCCCCGCCACGGGCTCCCTCAGTCCGCTGGCTTCCCACGCTCTGCCCCGGGGCCGCTGTCCCGGCCAGGGTCCTCCTGTGCCACGGGCACACGTGTGCACACACACGCAACTCCTTGCTTGTACAGAGTACTCAGACACGGACACAAACCCAAAACCGAGAGAAACAACACCCGCTGGCAGACACACAGGGTGTGCAGAGACCCCCAGTGACACAGATGGGCAGGTGTAAACAGCGACCAGTGCCCCAGGAGCAGGGACAGGCAGGCGCAATGACACAGACAGGAGGCCACGGGTGGGCACGCCGGACAGCTGACCCCCATAGACGAGAACGCCCACCCCAGTCTCCCTGGCTCTGAGGAGCGCAGGGGTCCGTCAGGCTGAGGGCAAGGTCCACAGTGCTGGGAACGAAGAGAGGCCAGCCCCTCGGGAAGGTGCCCCCCACACAGCTTCATCACACCTTCTGCACCTGCCACCTTCCCTGCCGGACACTGTCCCCGAGACACCAGGGCCAGCCCGGAGGCTCTCTGGAGGCCCGAGCAGGCCGGGCAGGTGGATGTCTGGCCTTGTTTGGGGCCTGGGGCTCCCGAACCACAGCCAGCGGGGGCAGGGCTGGGGTATGGCGCAGGGGGCGAAGGCCCAGACGCCCCTTGCACCCCAAGCCGCCGACGCAGGCAAGCAGGGAGCTGAACCACAATCGTGCCGCCTGAGCAGCAGCCGGGGGCTCTCCGCAGGGACTCTGGTGGCGCACCCCTGGCCTCCGGGCCCAGGGTCCCCGGCACGGCGGCCCACACGGCCACGGGGACACTCACCGCCGGGCCGCAGGTACTTCTTGGCGTGGAGGTAGCTCTCGAGCATGCGCTCGTTGAAGAGCATGTAGCCCATGGGCTCCGAGATGATGATGTCCACCTGCTCGGGCAGCGAGACCTCCTCCACCTTCCCGGGGATGACCACGATGCGGTCCGTGAGGTTGTTACTCTTCACCAAGACCTGCGGGCGGGCAGGCCAGGGGGTCACGGGGGGCCCTGCGCCCACCCGCCACGGGTCCTCACCCGACCCCTCCCCTCGGGGGCCTCCGCCCACACCAGTCACCAAATGCCCTCTGCCTCCTGTGTCGGATCCTAAGCACAGCCGTGATGAGCCACGGCCCACTAAGTGCTCCCTGTGGCCCCAGCGTCTCTCAGGGAGCCCTGCTGTGGCTCCCCGGACCCTGATGTCGCCTCCACCCTGCGAGGACAACTGCTGCTGGCAGCAGAGATGGGGACAGTAAACTTTGCTCCAGCCACCAAAGCAAAACTTGGACACACCCTCCACCCAGCGATTCCAGGGCTCGGAATGTATCCTGGGGACACAATCGCACAAGGCAAAGGTGACAGCAGTCCAGGGATTCAGTGCAGCAGTGGTTTGTACTGCAAAGACTGAGGAGCAGCCTAAGTGTCACCAACAGTCTGTGTCTACACAAACAAGTGGCGGTCCAGGCGGAGGACGCTCTGCAGCCGCCAGGAAGAGTGAGGATGCTCTTTATATGACAACACAGGAGAGGGAGCAATGCAGGTGTGAGAGGGCGAGGGGGCTGGGAGCCAGGGCAGGGGGAGCATCTTGCCTGTCTACCCTTTTGAACATTGTGAATGAAGGTTTCAGCGCAAAAAAGGAAAAATGGAAATGACAGCGCACACTAATAACATGAAATCCTGATGTTAAATGCATTTTGCAAACGTGGGAAGTGGGGCACAGAGACGGGGGCCGCTCGCCCGGGGCCTGCATGACTGCACAGTCCACCCCCTGGAGACCCCAAACCACCCCTGCACCCAGTGGGTGACCACCAGTCATGGAGGGGACATCATCAGGCCCAGCAAGCCCCTCCCTCCCCAAACCACTCAGTTTGGGGGACGAGAGACCAAAGTAGAGAAGTGACGTCCCCAGGCTCCCCTGGATCCAGGGCTCAGGTCTCCTGGGGGTTCCCAGCAGGGCCGGCTTCCCCAGGCTGGGGGGGACAAGGACGAGGACAGGCTGGAGGTCCCAGTGGGCCGCTGACCTCGGCGTGCTGGGCCATGGTGCTGGCCTCCACTGCATAGATCTTCCGTGCTCCAGCCTGGGCGGCGAAAAATGACAGGATCCCCGAGCCACAGCCGACATCAAGGACAATCTGAGGGAGGAGGGGCGTGAGAACACGACGCCAGTGACGTGACGGGCGTCACCGGCCACTGACCCCTGCCACACTGCCCCGAGCGCGCCCGTGCCGCCGCCTGTGTCCCCGCAACGCGGGCCGGCAGCCCACAGGCTGGTTTTGGAGAGCCGCTCGGAGCACATGGAACCCCTGGTTCTGGGTCTGAGGGCGGCAGACAGCGAGGACGTGAAGACTGTTACACACTTGTGGACCCGGGAAGGAACGGTGCGGGCCGTGAACTGTCGCTGCAGCACAGTGGACAGCTGGCTGTCACTGGAGTCACAGTGCCCATAGTTTCTCGAGGAATGACCGCTTGTTCTGAGCCCCGCTGCATGACCACGGAGGCTCAGGGCTGCCGGCCAGGCCCACACGCTGGGCAGAGAGTGGGCAGCCTCCGACTCCAGGCCCACATGGGGCATCCAGCAACCTGGGATGAGCCCCCGGGGAAGAGCCCACTCAGCCCCAACCCTGAGGCCCTCAGGCCTCTGGATCAGCTGGGCTGAGGGCGAGGTCCTCCCTCCAAGCCTGCTGGGCAGCTGGGAGGGGTCCCTCTGGGGCCTCTGCAGCCCTCGCAGGGAGGAAAGGGGCCTGGGGGCATGTCAGTAGCAATGTCTCCAAGCAGTGGCTCAGCTGGGCGCCCCTCCAGGGCTGGTGACCCCATGACATGGGCTCCTGGAAGAGTCTAGGCCCGTGTGTGGCATATTGTCCCACGTTCTGGATTCATCTGATTGCTTCTGCATGAGCGGAATCAGGTAAACGTTTCTGGTTGCGAAGCACATGCGCATTCTAAAGAACTGCTCTGGGCGCAGAGTAAGCGCCCAGTAGGGGAGCTGGGACTGTCAGGTGGGAGGGCCTCGGGGTGCCAATCAGAGCTCTAGGTGAGCCAGGAATGGATCTCCGTCCTGGGAGAGCTGGAAGGGACTTCGCTGAAGGACGGTGCCCTTCCCGGGCCCCCAGCGCTGCCCTGGCTCGGCTCACACGACCACAGGACGCCGGGAGGGCCTGGGAAGGATGCAGCAAGGGCTGCTGCGGCGAGGACAACGCCCCCCGGGCTGCGGGGCACAGGGTGCTGAGGGGATCGTCAGCAATCCTGGGGGCAAGACCAAGGCACTGGAGCAGGCAGATCCCACGGACCTTGTGGCGAGCCCCTAACAGACATTGAGAAAAACAAGCTATTTGGTTCAAAAGGGAAAACAAACTCTAGAAGAGAGTCGGAAGAGAAGGGAATAAATGTTCCCCTTGGAGCATACATACTCAGGACTGCTCGCTCTCTTTTTAATCATGAGTATACATTACTTGGTAACATTAAGATTTTAAAACAAATTAGGGAAGTAACTAGATAATTACACTATATCCATGTGACTTAACAGTATGTCCCAAGACATACGATTAGGTGAGGGAGAAGTATTTTGCAGGAAGACTATGTAGAATACAATCTTATTTTGTAAAAAATGATTAAATGAAATAACTCTAAAATATATATGCTGATACGGTCCTGCACCACACAACGACGTTCCGATCAACGACGGACTGCATATACGACGGTGGTCCCACAGATTAGTACCCCGCAGCCTAGGCGTGTAGGAGGCTGTACCATCCAGGTTTGTGTAAGGACACACTATGATGGTCACACAAGGACAACACTGCCTAATGACACATTTCTCAGAACGTGTCCCTGTTAAGCAGCACATGACTACATATGATGGAAAAATCTGGAAGAAGAGATCTTCACTGTTGGCGATGGTTGTTTTGCAGGGAAATGACAGAGGCCTTTTATGCCTATATTATACACACTGGGTTTTAACAAAAAGTAGATTTTGCTTTTGTGATCCACGAAAGCAAAAAGAAAATTAGAGACAACTGTGGCAGTGAGGTGGGCGCGGGGCGGGGTGGGCGGGGAGGGCGGGGGCATGGGGGCGGGGCATAGGGGGCGCCACGAGGAGCGCTGGCGGCCGGGTGCCCACCTTGTCCTTGAAGTCCGTGTGGTTCTGCAGGATGGCGCGCTGGTAGGTGCCCGTGCGGACGTAGTCCTGCATCATGTTCTGCTGCTGGGACAGGTAGCCGTAAAACTGCGACACAGACACGCCGATGGCACCGGGCGCGCAGCCGAGGCCCCGCCTTGGCACAAGCCTCCCTCTGGAGGCCATACCCCTCTGTCAGCCTGGACCCGCTGCAGCAGGAAGCGGAGGGCGGCCCCCAGGGGCGATACAGCCACCATCACTGTGGCTGAAGGACAGAGCTGGATGCGGCCTGGACCAGGAGAACTCAAGGTGTGCCACGGGCAGGGTCCTGGGATCAGGGGCCGCGTGCCCCACTAGGGGCCCCAAAGAAGTGGGGGAACAGATCAAAGAGAACCCAGAACTATGAGTGCCAGGTGGTGAGGTGCACGGGGTCTCTCTGTAAGACAATGGGCGACCGGGGACTGCGCGGCACCCGGCCAGGGGCCAGGCTTTGGCACCAGGCTGACCTGGCTTCCCATCTTGGCTCTGGTGCATAATAGCTGTGTGACTTGGATCAAGTCACTGAAGCTCCCTGAGCCTCAGTTTTCTCATCTGTAAAGTGGGGACAGTAAGTACTTACCTCCCAGAGTTGTCGGGAGGGGGCAAGTACTTCCGTGCATTTAAAAGCACGTGGACCACCGCCTGGCCTGCCGTACATGTTCAGTACATTGTAACTGAGCTGTCGTTACTCAAAATGCTTGCTACTCAAAATGCTTGTGGACCTGAGCTCCCCCTGTGCTCAGATCCTTCCAGCAACCCTCCTGGGTGGACACTGGCATCTCCGCTTCACAAATAAGGAAACCGAGGCCCAGCCAGCAGAGGAAACCTGCCCAAGCTTACGCGGCTAGTAAGGGGCAGAGCCAAGCCGTGACCCGGGTGGGCCTGCCCTGTGCCATGTGGCCTCCTGGGGGCCACAGGGGGAGCAGCCTGGACGAGGGGGCGCACACCCACCTGGAAATACTGCACGGCCGAGGACTCCTCTGTGCGTTCGCTGAACACCGACCGCTCCAGGGTGTGGCCGCGGCAGGTTTTCAGGATGTTGTAGAAGGAACAGAAATCTGGAAGGGGAAGGCCGGGTCATGCGTTGCCATCTCAGGGGTGTGGGGGTCAGACGGACCGGTGGCCCTCTCTCCACAGAGGTGCACACCCCGACTTTTCTACCTTGAGCACATGCAACTTGGCAGTTTCTTTTTGCCAAATGTTTAAATCTGAGGACAAGCAGAAGGGCAGCCAAGCCTCCCGCTTGGTGGCTGACACGGGAGAAGGCAGGTGTCACGCCCTCGGGGTGAGTGTGCTCCCCGCGGCTGGAGGGGGTGGGCCTGGATACCTCGGTCAAGGGAAGAGTAGCCAAAGCCTTTGGAGGGCACACGCCTGCCGACCCGGGCGCCACACCTCTGGGACTCGCCCCAGCAAATACCCACCAGCCCACCCAGCGGCTCACAGCAGTGTTTGTGTAGCAGTGGACACAGGGGACGCCACACCTCAGTGTCCAGTAAGAGGGGACTGAGGAGCACGGCAGAGAACCGATGACCACGGGGCAGGACCGGATGGTACGTGGCCCTCTAAAATGAACTCTGGGGGCTGGCCTGGTGGCGTGGTGGTTAAGTGCGCACAACCCGCTTCGGTGGCCCAGGGTTCACAGGTTTGGATCCCGGGAGCGGACCTACGCCCCGCTCATCAAGCCACGCCAAGGTGGCGTCCCACATAGAAGAGCTGGAAAGCCGTACAACTAGGATACACAACTACGCACTGGGACTTTGGGGGAAAAAAAAAATCTTACACCAGACTCAGGAATCTGTATTTATCAAAAAAAATTTTTTAAATAAAATGAACTGTGTTTATTAACACACAATGATGACCACTAAATTGTATCAAGTAATTCAAAATCCTAAAGACAGAAAGTAGATGATGGTTACCAAGGGCTGGGGGAGGGCGATGGGGAGTTGGTGTTTAATGGGGACAGAGTTTCAGTTTGGGAAGATGAGACAGTTCTGGAGATGGATGGTGGTGATGGTTGCACAACAATGTGAACGTGCTTAATGCCACTGAACTGGACACTCAAAAAGAGTTCAAATGGTAAATTTTTTGTTATGTATACTTTACCACAATTTAAATAACAGGATTGAGAGGAGAAAAAAGTAAAATATTCATAGAGTAGAAAAAGACTAAAGGGATTTACACCAGCAACTCTCAATGGTTAATCCTGGTGGTGTTTTCTCAAACTTACTGTTTTAAACAAGGAATTTGTGTTATTTATGGAGGAAGCGGACTGTGAGGCCTAAGAACGCCTCCTGCAGGAGGTGGCCGGCCCCCTGGCTGCCCTCACGCCCCCTCGGCCTTCTCCTCCGCCCAGCGGTGGCTCTGAAGCGGCTGCACCAGGGTGAGTGGCCCAGGGGGTCTGGGCCATGGGGAGTCTCCTCCGGTGGGGGCGCTGAGACAGGTGAGGGGCTCCGGGCAGCTGGCGGCCTCCCCCTCCTCGGCTCGCCCGCCCCAGCCCCTGCGCCCACCCCCAGGCTCACTGACGTCCACTCTGCGTGACCAAGCCCTGTTGCCAGAGCTTCCACGGGTCTCCAGCCCTGGATGCCCCACCACCTCCACTGCTGACCCCACCCCCGAGCCACCAGCAGCGCTCGCCTGGGGCTCCACAGCCCTCCTCAGAAACCTCGTGGATCCGTGTCCCCCAGACAGGTCTGCTCAGAACCCCCCGTGGCTTCTCTGCGCTCAGAACAGAGACTCAGGACCTCGTCCGGCCCCATCCTTTGCTGTCGGGAGGGCCGGGCCCCAGACAGCCTCCTCCAAGGGACAGGCCTCTCGGAGGAGGGGACACATGAGCTGACACACCCCCGCGCTCCGGGTCTCCGGCCGGGGCCGCGGGACGGAAGGAGGGACACGTACCGGTGGGCGTGGCGAACTGGATGAGGACGCTGTTGCAGCCAAGCGTGACGATGAAGGACTGCTTGCCCACGCGGCTGCACTCCGTCTCCCGGGACACCGAGCACTTGAACACGCACACGTCTTCATCTAGGAGCAGAGAGGCGGCCTGAGCCGCAGGTCCCAGGGCCAGCCCAGCGAGGCTCCCGGTCGGCTGCCTTTGTTCCAGTCGTGTCCATGCCACCCTCCCCCTCCCTCCTCTCGGCCCCCAGGTTCTTCTGGGGTGCCACAAAACTGCCCGGGAAGCTCTGCCGTGTGCCCTGCCTGCCCAGCCTGTGCTGAGGACAAGGGGATGGCCGATCAGGCACTGGGGACACAGGCTGTGTGTGCCTGTGTCCTCAGGGAGCTCACTGTGCAGTGGGAGAGGAGGCCGGGTGTGCACAGGGGACCAGGGCTGAGATGGGGGGTGCCAGGCACTGTGGGGCCCAGCGAGGCATCCTGGCCCAGGGGCACCTCTGCCAGGACATGCTCTCAAGGAGTGCCTGCTGGTGCCAGGCTGGTCCACCCAGTGGGCACTGAGGTGAGAAGACACAGGTGGGCAAAGGGCAATGCTGGCAGGGTCAGAGGGTCATGGGGGGACCAAGGGCGCCCCAGGCCCAGCTAATGGAGGTAGGCATTCACTAGCAAATCCTTCTGGGTCACATGGGGGATCAGCGGCCTTCATAGCTGAGTTGGGGGGTGGTCAAGAGAGAATTCCCAGAAGCCCCTCTGCTTCCTTTGGCTGAGCCCTGTCCCCCCTGCATTGATGTGACGTAGGGACTCACTGGAGCGGGGCAGTCTGGACACATGCCCTGTCCACGCCACTCAGTGTGTCACTTGGCCTCCCTGAGCCTCGGTTTTCTCATCTGCCAAATGTGACTAATGGCGGGGCAGGCAGAGGGCCAGGCACACGGCAGCTCTGCACCCCCATGCCCGCCGCTATTACTGTTACTAGTTAGTCATTCAACAAGCACACAGTGTGCCCACCTCGGCCAAACAGAGGAACCGAGCACCAGCAGGAACAGGACAAACCATACGACGCTGCAGCCCTGATGCAGTGCAGCCGGACGGACACGGCGTCAGTGTCATATTCTTGGCAAAAATTTTACCCTGGTCCCATCACAAGGGACAACGGACAGGGCCAGATCACGGGGCAGTCTGCAGGACAACCTGCCTGGTCTCCTCTAAAGGGCCAAGGTCAGGAAAGACAACAATTGCTGGGAGCGATTCCAGAGTGAGGGGGACTAAGAGACGTGACGGTCACATGCCAAGTGTGATCTGGGACTGGAGCCTGATGAGAAACTTTCCAAAAGCTACAAAGGACACATGGAGACATGTGAGTGTGGACTAAGGTGCGACCATTTTAAATGATGTGACAACAGCACTGTGGTGCTGTAGAAGAATGCCCTTATTCTTAGAAGACACGTGTGGAAGTATGTAGAGAGAATTCTCGTGATGTCTGCAACTTACTTTTGAGTGGCTCTTCAAATCAACAACAACAACAAAATATATGTATAGAGAGAAGCACCAGTACAGATGCGCAGAAATGTTCCCAAGTGCCCCCGAAGAGCCAAACCAATCTCAAAGGAGAACAAAGTTGGAGGACTCACACTCCCCAATTTCAAAACTTACTACAAAGGTACAGTAATCAAAATAGAACAGTACTGCCAAAAGGAGAGACAGAGAGGTGAATGGAAAAGAATCAGAGTCAAGAAATCAACTTCCGTTTATAGTCAACTGATTTTCAACAAGGGTGCCAAGAACATTCAGTGGGGAGAAAATAGTCTCTTCAACAAACAGTGCTGAAACACGGGACCTCTATGTGCCAAAGAACAAAGCTGGACCCCTACCTCACACCATATATACAACCAAACTCAAATGGATCAGTGACCTAAATGTAAGAGCAAAACTGTAAAACTCCTAGAAGAAAACACAGGGGTAAATCCTCATGACTTTGGATTTGGCAAAGGATTCCGAGATCTGACACCCAAGGCAACACTATCAAAAGAAAAACTTGATAAATTGGACTCCATCAAAATTGAAAACTTTCATGCATCAAAGGATACTATCAAGAAAGTGAGAAGACAATCTACTAGATGGGAGAAAATATCTGCAAAGCATATGCCTGACAAGGATCTAGTGTCCAGAACACATAAAGAACTCCTAACAACAAAAAGATAAACCACCCAATTCAAAAAGGGGCAAAGGACTTCAACAGACATTTTTCCAAAGAATATATACAGACGGCCAAGAAGCACATGAAAAGATGCTCAACATCACTAATCATTAGGGAAATGCAAATCAAAACCACAACGAGATACCACTGCACACCCACGAGGATGGCTATAATTTAAACCAAAAAAGGGGAAAAAGTGTTGGCGAGGATGTGTGGAAATTGGAACCCTCACACCCTTGCTGGTGGGAACGTAAAATGGTGCAGCCGCTGTGGAAAACAGTTCTGTGGTTCTTCAAAAAGTTAAACATAGAATTACCATTTGACTCAGCAATCCTATCCTAGGTATGTACCCAAAAGAACTGAAAGCAGGTATTCAAACAAATACTTGTGTGCAAATATGCAAAGCAGTACTACTCACAAGAGCCAAAAAGTAGAAGCAACTCAGATGCCCATCAACTGATGAATGGATAAACAAAATATGGTAAATCCATGCAATGAGATATTATTCAGCCATGAAAAGGAATGAAGTCCTGACACACGCTGCCACATGGCTGAACCTCAGAAACACGATGCTAAGTGAAAGAAGCCAGACACAAAAGGTCACATATCTATGATGCCATTTATATGAAATTTCAAGAATCGGTATATCCACAGAGACAGAAAGCAAACTGGTGGTTGCCAGGGGCCGGGAAGAGGGAGAATGGGGAATGATTGCTTAATGGATACGAGGTTTCCTTCTGGGGTGACGAAATGTTTTGGAACCAGATAGAGGTGATGGTTACACAATACTGTGAGCGTACCAAATGACAGTGAATTATACACTTTGAAATTAGTGTTATGTAAATTTTATCTCAATAGAAAAAGAAACACGTTCCCGATCTGTGAATCTAGATAGGAAGCGCCTAAGGGAGTTCACCAGCTCCCTTGCTCTCCTCTGTGTAGTCTGAGCACTGGGCTGGGGCCATGCCACGGAGCAGGGCTCCTGGGGCCACAGTGGGGCATCGTCACCCTCCCGACCACGGGCAGGAGGGAAGAGCACACTGGCAGGCCTCTGCCCCAGGCTGACAGCCACATCGCACCCACAGAGGACCCAAGATAAGGTGCTCCCAAGTCCAATGATACGCAGGCCCCAGGAAGAGACCCCAAACCTTACCCTGGTGGTCATGCCCACGCCCCTCCTGGCGCAGGAGATAGAGCGATCTGCCAGCTGCGCCAGGGGGACAGCGAGCCCGGGAAAGGCCTCTGTTTACGAAGCAGCCTGGCAACCCGGCCAGTTGCCCTAGGCGCCCCCTGCAACCTGGCGCCGGGCTGGCGACCACAAGAACCTGTGGCCGAGCATAGCTTGGCTGCGTCTGGAGGGGCTGGGCTCGGGCCAGGGCGGCTGGCGCTGAGGGCGACCCGACCTGTCCCATCCCGGCAGTGGCAACCAAAGCCCGGGGAGCCAGGCTTTTGTGAGAGTCACGGCTACGCCGCCCCAGGGCCAGTCCCTGGCACACAGGAGGTGCTCAGTAAACATCTGACAAACCAAAAAAAAAAAAGCTGGACCGTGTTCCGAGCGTGTTTACAAGCATCAGGAGAAGCGCAAGCTCTCGGAGCGGCACTGGAGGCCTGCATAACCTGTACCCCTCCTTCACCAGCCTCTCCCCTCCCCAGCCCCCACCACGGCCACACGCACTCCCCCACCCCCAGGGGCCAGCTCCTGGCCTTTGCAAGTGCTGTTCCGTTTTCCCCCTCTCTTCCTTCCCTTCACTAGGATGACCTCTCAGGATGACGGGTGGAGTGGAGCTGGGATGCACACCCAGCCTCCCGGCTGCCAGACAGCTCCTCGCGGGCAGAGTGTCCTGGGAGAGAGCTTCTCCCCCAGAAAGGGGCTCAGGGCCCGGAGCCCACAGGGCCTGGACCCAGCAGTGGTGATCAGGTCCCCCCCACCGGCGCAGCCCCGTTGGCCAGCAAACCTTCGGGTAGACTGGAAGGCTGGCCCCTTCCTCTCAAGTCACCGAGTCCTTCAGCCATCAGTGGGTGAGCCCGGGAAGAGGCAGGAACTCGACTCTGTGCCCTGCCTCCAGGGACCGGTGCAGAGAGTGCCACCCTCGTCACATCGGCCCACGTATTCGGGGGCTGTGTGCACGTGGCCCGGAGAGGGGGTTGGGGGGCTGCTGTGATGATTTAAGGGGGGGCGACCATGAAAGGGGCTGTCGGCCGGGAGGCTGGGCTGGTGCCCGCCAAGCGAGGTCGGGCAGGGCTGGTGCTTCTTTTCCCTGCGGTAAAGGATCGGGTGGGCTGGGCTGTGGACAGGCCCACTGCCCGGCCTCCCCCCGCCACACTGCCACACTGTCAAGTCTGTCCTGCCGAGCTCTGGGGCCAGGGGGTGCGGGGCCGGAATGGCCAGCGCCAGCCCCACAGGGTGAGCAGTGCTCTGGGGCAGTGGCGGGAATCCTGGCAGAGTAGGAAACTGCCACACCTGCCTTGCTCCCCGGGAGGCAAGGCCTCCGAGTATCCATGTCGAGTATCCATGTCGCGAACCCCGAGTTCCCATGGGGAGCCGGGCCCAGCCCCCGCCCACACCCTGCCGAGACTGGCACGGGGCTGAGATGTCAGAATGCGAGCGCTTTCCAGGGCTGAGCTCTGCTCCTACACTTTCCCCGGACCCCTCAGAGCAGCCCCGGGGGTATCTACTGTCACCGCCCCATTGGCTCAGATGAGGAACCAGGGCTCAGGCAGGTTAAGTGTCTTGCTCAGGGTCACACAGCGAGTGAGTGGCTGAGCTGACTGCTCCAGGATCTGGGCTGCTGGCTAACGTGCTGGACGACCTCTCTGCGCTTCCTAGAGCAGGGGACGGCCAACCTTCTCTGTAAAGGACCAGACAGTAAATATTTTCCGCTTTGCAGGCCGTATCATCTCTGCTAGCACGACTCGACTCTGCACAGACAACACGTAAACTGCGTATGGCTGTGTGCCAACCAAACTTGATTTACAAACCCAGCAGGGGGGCTGCTGGAACTACACCTGGAACTACAGGTGCAGAGAGGCTGGGCGCTAAGCCCCCTCTGCATCCACTCCCTCATTTGCTCACCAGACACTGAGAGGTGGAGACACCCTCCCCATCCCAGAGGAGGTGAGGGTAGCCGGGTGGCCAGAGCGACGAGGAACCCCAGGTCATGGCACTGAGCCAGGGGAGCATGGACACCACAGGGGCCTAGGGATGACACCTGACCCAGCCCGGGAAAGAGACTGGGAACAAATGCTCCAGTGAGAGCAAACAGCCCATGGAAGGCAGAGAGAAAAGGGGGTTGTGATACTGTGATTTATAATAAAAAATAGGGGCTGGCCCTGTGGCACAGCGGTTAAGTGTGCAGGCTCCGCTGCTGGCGGCCCGGGTTCGGATCCCGGGCGCGCACCGACGCACCGCTTCTCCGGCCATGCCGTGGTGGCGTCCCATATAAAGGGGAGGAAGATGGGCACAGATATTAGCCCAGGGCCAGTCTTCCTCAGCAAAAAGAGGAGGATCAGCATGGATGTTAGCTCAGGGCTGATCTTCCTCACACACACACACAAAAAAAACTATAATAAAAAATATATATTTGGTCTTCGTCCCAGTTCCTGGCACGGAGCTCCTAAAACTTGTGGGATTTTTTAAGTGAGAAGAGCCATACAGGTGTCTTCTGTGATTCAGATTGAGCCCCTTTCACCACTGCAGATTTATGTTACTGAGGTGACTTTGGGAAAGCACCTGAGGATGGGCCTGGTTGCCAGGGGAACCAAGTGAGTAACCAGAGGGCTGGAACTGTCAGCATCTCCCCTCTCCCTCCAACGGCTGATGATGTCATCAATTATACCTAGGCAACAAAACCTCCCTAAAAACCCACAAGGACGGTCCGGGAGCTTCCAGGCTGGTGAGCACGTGGAGGTGCTGGGAGGTGGGCACACTCAGAGAGGGCAGGAAGCCCCGCCCTCTCCCCTATGCGGCCCTTCCATATGCCTGCTCTCAAGTTAGATCCTTTTATAGTAACCAGGAATCCAGTCAGTAGACTGTTTTCCTCAGTTCTATGAGCCGTTCTAGCAAATAGAACCAGAGGAGGGGGTCATGGGAACCTCCGATTTATAGCTGCTCAGAAGCACAGGCGACAACCTGGACTTGGGATTGGCGTGGTGTGGGGGACAGTCTGGTGGGACTGAGCCCTTCGCTGCAGGATCTGACGGCATCTCCAGGTAGAGTGTCCGAGTTGAGCTGAATTATAGGAGAGCCAGCTGGAGTCAGGGAATCGCTTGGTGTGTGGGGACCCCCAGCACCTGGCAATCAGAAGTGTCCGTGTGAGCACTGAGAGTAAGGGAGATACACAGGAGGAGTGTTTTCCCTGGAGGGGCCCAGGAGAGAGAATGGAGCAATCAAGACAGCGTGGCTGGGGAGTGTGGCTGCTCCACAGCCGTGGGCAGCACTGGGAGGGACCACGCGCTGAGAGAGAGACAGGGCTGGAGGAGGAGCTGCTGGCAAGGCAGGAGATGAGGCAGCTGGGAGGTGGGCAGCTCTCGGGGGGACCAGGCTGCCTGCTCCCCCCCCACCACAGCACCCACCCTGATGCCCCCTCCTGTCCATGGGATCCAGGACAGCAGAATCTGGGGGACCCTGAGGCACAGGGGGCTCCCTGGTCCTGGGCTCGAAGGAAAACGCCCTGCTCACCACCTCACCGCTGGGCCTAACCCAGGGCCCGGCACTCAGGCGGGCCTCAAAAGAGCTGGCTGACTCCAGGAGAGGCAGACACAGGGAGCCCTGTCTCAGGGGCCCTGACCAGATGGTCCCAGGGGACGTGCCAAGCCTCCAGTCACCTCCCAGTCAGAGTCTGCTGTGGTACTGGTCTGCTTACACCCCTCCGGGGTTTCCCAGAGCCTTCCAGAACAAGTCTAAACTCCTTAGAGGGCTCACGAGCCCCCTGCCAATGTCTACAGTCTAGTCATGCCCCTCCATCTCTCCACCTGAGCCACGCTGACCTCGCCACCCCCCACACCATGGACAGAAAGACGTCTCTCTGGCCTCTGTGGCTCCTGAAACCTGAAACACCCTCTGCCTCTTTTCCTGCATCCCCATCACCTCCCCCTGGAGGTCCTCCATCACGTCCTGGACAAGCCCCAGTCGCGTGGCGGCTCCTTATTTAACACCAGTCTTGCTCGCCCACCTACGACCCAGTGAAACACGGACCCAGGGCTCTGCGTGTGGCCGGCACCCGGGGATGCTGACCTGCATGGTGGCCGCGGGGCAGGAGGTCCAGGAGGCCGGGCCTCTTCCCCACATGCAGGAGGCAGCTGGTATGGGGGTCCAGGTGCCCAGGCCCTGACGACGTGCATGGCCCAGGAGGGTCACTTAACTGCTCCAGGACGCTGGGCGCTGGGCAGGCGCACGCTAACGTTCCTACGACTACTGTTCAACTTCTCCCTCCCCCTCGATTCCGGAAAGAATGGAACAAGCAGTGAGTGCTCGGGCCCTTCAGGCTGCACAGACCTGGGTCAGAGGGACCCAGTGGAACAGGGACAAATGCCTGGAGTTAAACTCGCCTCCCTTGAACCCTTCCATCCCCGCGCAAGGTGAGAGCAGCTGTCTGCCTCATGGAGAACAGAGAGGTGGAGGGCCCAACCGGAAAGCAGCCACCAGCTCAGGAGGGAAAAAAAAGGCCACATTTCAAGTCCTTGCCTCTCTAGAGGGCAAACTATTACAGCCACCACAGCAGGAATAATTAAAGCTATTTATCTTGGCGGACCTGGGTGGGGAGTCGAAACGCTTGTCCAAATGGGAGGTCTTTTATTCGACCATCTCCTACTGCCAAATAAAACACGAGCTGTTCACCTTCCAGAGGAAAATATTCCACAGGAGAGGGGAGGGTCAGGTGAAGAGGAGGACGAGGCATGGAAAAATCAAGATGCTTCTCTCGGCCCACCCAGCGGCATCCTCTGCTCAGGGCCATCGCCTCACCGGCAGCTCTGGCCAGGACCCCACTTCGTGCCAAGTGCAGGCACTGGAGCCCGGCAGTGAACAGCACAGCCGGGCCTGCCTTCCCCACGGCACACGGGCCGCCAGTGAGGGTGAGCGTAACGGGAGCTGGGAGGAAGGAAGGAACACGGGGGCCTGGTACACACAGATGGGGGCTCAATGCTGGTAACACACTGCCTCGGGGAGATGAGGCCACCCAAGTAGAGCCAAGCCCTGGATGACGCAGGGCTGGCCTTCCTGGAAGGACCTCAGAAGCCCCATCTGTGAAATGGGGACCCAACCCCTGGCTGGCGGGAGGGTTCGCTGAGATAACGGAGGAGTGCTAAGTGTCCTGAGGACTGAGGAACCAGGAGCGCCCTCTGTTCCCATCCTCAGATCAAGGCCCGTCTCGGTCTCAGGAGAGACTCCCACCCCGGCAATCCTAACCCGGCCTGGCCTCCCTCTCCGGCCGTAACCCAAGCCGCCTCCTCCAGCGCTGTCCCCGGAGATGCTGCGGGCAGCTGTCACCATGCACTGCCCAGCCTGGGGTATTTGAAGCCCATGAGGTCACCCTGGGCTCCTCCGGCCCGGCCGTGCCTGGGGTGAATCCTAGCCCCTCCCTACCAGCACCCGAGAACCACGCACTGGGCATCTCTCGCCAGGACAATCTGTCACAGACTTCCACCCAGAAATCCCCTTGCGGGGCCTTACCCTATAGCTTTGCTCGTAAACGTCGGCAAAGATAGACCGACACACAGGACCACTCAAAGCAGCGGAAAACCTACATCCCCACTGAACAAGCGAATGAAGGCGCGGCCGATGAAAAGACACAGATTGCAACCTGTAGCGCTGCCATGTTGGCGGCCAAGCCACACTGTTAGGGACAGAAGAATGTAAAATATATGCACCACAGGTATAAAAATAAGAGGGGCCGGGGGAGGGACCAGGCGCCCGGCGTGCCTGGGGCTTGTCTAGAAAGAAACAATAAAATGACTCTGGGGGCTGCCTCTGGAAGGGGGCGTACTTCGCCATGGGCAGCCTCCTCTCCGTTGTTTAAACTGCAGAACTTGGAGCACAGAGGGCTCCCGGGGAGAGATTCCTGCATGCGTGCCTGCAAACCATGCGTGCGGGAAGGTCACACCAGACAGCGGGCGTGTGGGGGACAGGCCAGGATCCGGAGGGAGGAAGACACGGACTTCCATGTTACACCCTCCTGCGTGGTTTGCATTTCTGCCCTGCACACGAAAGATAACCAGACAAAAGGCAATCGGCAGGTCATCTGGGTCCTCCTAGAAGTGAGCAGGTCTGACTAGGTGCCCCCTCCAACCCTGCTGGATGGGGGAGGGTGGTGGGAACAGGTCTGCCCTCTGCTGCCGCAGGCTCTGTGACCCAAGGGCTGGGATGGAGGTAGCCAGTGGTACTGTCCCAGGGCAGGCCCGCACCCACCCCACCCCCTAAGTAGGTGTGATGGAGGAGGGGCAGAAGGCGGGGCCAGGTCAGGGTGCCTGGGGCCACTAGAGGCTCAGGTTTCTTCAAGCCCAGGACAGCACCAGTC